AGGGGCCTCAGCAGGGCCCAAGGCCACGGAGTCCACCCTTCAGAGCAGCCATTTTCTCCAGGGGAGCTGATCTCTGTCGGCTGGGGATCAGTGGTGAAAGCGGGGGATCCCCAGGCCCCACCTGGAGGCCCCTGCCGTGGTGCCGCCGGCCTCCGTTCTGAGTGGCCAAGGCGCTGCTGGGGAAGTGCAGGCTGTGGGAGGCCGGAGGGCGCCACCGCATCATGACGGAGGAGGGAGGGAGGGAGCTCCCGTCTCCGGCCCCAGCTCCTGCCATCCTAGCAGTTCGAAAGCCAGAACTTGCAAGGAGATCAATAGGGACCACTTCGGTGGGAAGAAGGGAACGGCGTTCCGTGCGCCTCGGCCTCTAGTCATGCTGCCCACATGACCACGGAAACGTCTTCGGACAGCGCTGGCTCTTCGGCTGTGAAACGGAGATGAGCACCGCTGCAGAAGACAGCGACAAGGATGTTCGGGGTCCTGGAGGCCAAGCCCTGTGAGGAAAGACCGATGGCTCTCTTGAAGTATCTGAAGGGCAGGGAGCTGTTCCTCTGGGCAGCAGAGGGGAGGACTCGCAAGAATGGGTCAAAGGGCGGGAAGGTCCCGGCTGGAGATTAGGGGAAGCATTTCTACAGTCAGAGTACTTCAGCAGTGGAATGGGCCTTAAGCAGCGGCTGGACAAACCCTTGCCAGGGATGCTCTCGCCTGACCCTGCACTGAGCAGGGGGGGCTGGACTCGATGGCCTGTAGGGCCCCTTCCCACTCTGTGTGATTCCATGATTCATATTGTTGTTATGATTTAATATAACTAACTAGGTGTGGGCCTGAGAAGTCTCTGCCTCCGGAGTCGGCATGAGCCAGCTTCATTCTGCACTGTTGCCAAGTGCAGCTCTCCCTTCCCCACCTTTCCTCCCTTCCTTAGAGCCGCACTGTGTCCAGGTGTCCTTTCTTCCTGTCTTCCATGTTTCTGTTATGTGTCCCACCCTGCCTGAGCTCCCTGGGCCTGTCTGTTGACCAGTGACCCACAGCACACACACACCCACAGTCTCTCTGTGAATAAGCTCATCCATTACGCCAGAACACAAATGAAGGTGTCACTGTCAGAATGTCTTTTTGGCACCTGGTGCACGCCCAGGGCGGGCTCTGCACTGCCTCCTGCCTTTCCTTCAGCACTCCTGCCCTGACCGCCGCCTCTCCACGTGCCCACCATTCTCTATGGCAGTTGCAGGGAAATCTACCCATGCAATATTAACTCTTTGACAAAACTGGTTTAATATTATCACACTGCTCGCAATTGAAATGCACGTGTAGTTTAACGATGACTGGTGCTGTCTTCTGCCAACCTAGCAGTTCGAAAGCAAGAAATTGCAAGTAGATAAATAGGTACCACTTCGGTGGGAAGGTAACAGCATTCCGTGCGCCTTGGTGTTTAGTCATGCCGGCCACATGACCACGGAAACGTCTTCGGACAGCGCTGGCTCTTCAGCTTGGAAACGAATACTCGCGCCCACCCACCCTCGTTCCCACGTGCTTTGAAAAGGCACTCTCGCAGCCGCCCCCCCCCCATTCGGCGGGCAGCCCTTTAAACGGCAAGTCTGATTTCTCGCCGCCTCTGAGGCGCACGGAGCAGAGGCTGCCGCTTCTCGCCAGATTTTTGCAAGGCACCCACAGAAGGGGGTGGAATCGGGAATGGGGGAGGGAAGAGACTCCCACTCACTGGAGCTGAAGTGCGCAAGCTGCTGTGGTGATGGAGGAGGAGGACTTTTGGTGAGCAGGAGGAGAAGGCGGTGTTGGTTGGTGGTGGACTGCCAGGAGGGGACCCTGCGGCTGGCTCACGTGGCTAGCCTAGGCACGCACAGCACCAAGCCCCGGCGGTCAGAGGCCAGACCCAGCAGTCTCCCGCAGAGATACCCCGGAGTCCAAGCCCCCACCACCACGTGAGCAGCCTGCCTCTCTCGTAGCACCGTCCCGCGCCTGGCTCACCTTCTCACGCCTCTCTCCACGGGCAGCTCTCTGCACAGGCCAGCCCGCCCACTCCTTCTGGCCAATGAGAGGGGTAGGCGGTGGTAGCAACCCGGCCAGTGGAAACGACAGGGGGCTTGAGGTTTGATTCGAAGATGATGCCGGGATGGCAAAAGTGTTTGCCTGGAGGCCGTTGCACTCGCACGATCTCTCGTCCTGCGTCGACCCGTGCAGCACCACGTGCTCCGTGAAACGGCCCCAGGAAGCGCGGGGAGGGGTGGCTGTGCTTCTTGTGGCACTGACTAAAGAGGACGTCCTTCTTCACCCAAAGAGTGATTAACACTTGGAATTCACTGCCACAGGAAGTGGTGGTGGCTACAAGCATGGACGGCTTCAAAAGGGAATTAGATAAGCATATGGAGCAGAGGTCCATCAGTGGCTATTAGCCACAAGGTATAGATAGGGACTCTGGGGCAAGTGATGCTCTGTCATCTTGGTGCTTGGGGGGGTCAACAGTGGGATGGCTTCTAATGTCCTGGCCCCACTGGTGGACCTCCTGATGGCACTGGTATTTCTGGCCACTGTGTGATACAGAGTGTTGGACTGGATGGGCCTTTGGCCTGATCCAACATTGGCATCTCTTATGTTCAGTACTCCAAATGCGGTCGCACCATTGATTTATACAGGGACATTATGATACTGGCTAATTTGTTTTCAGTTCCCTTCCTAATAATGCCCAACATAGCGTTGGCCTTTTTTTTTTGCAGATATAGTTATTAAGGTTTTATCATATAAGCCAACATCATATACATATAACCACTCAGCAAGACTACATACAAATCCCATACATTAATTTTTCCTTTTCAGCAACACAAAACCATTAGTCAAATATCCAGAGTGACATAAGTATATAGCTAATTCTAATTTTCCACCCTACAATCTAATCTATATCAAATACACACATATCTCTTAGCTGTCCTTGAGATCTATATACTACCTCCATTAATCTATAAGATCCTATTGGCACTAAAGAACAAACATATCATCTCTTTTAGTCCAATTCCTTAAACTATCCATTCTTTCATGATTCTATCTTTCTGTCTTCCATTTACCACCTAGATTCCCCCAAGCTACTTTTCTACTAACTTGCCAATGTATTTTCCTCTCCAATATTTTATTTTTATTATTATTATTTTAACAGTAATCTTCAACAGAGTCCTGTCTATGTCTCATAGTCCTGTCTATGTCTCATATCTCCCCGTGCCGATATCTGAATTAATTCTTCCGACCCGTTATGCTAGTAAACTCATACATACAGTACAAACAATTAAAATAATATACAACTTTGGATACATTGAAGGTCATTTTTCCCATTTAATCCTATATGAGGTATACATTATTTAGTCTATATTTCTATACAGCTTGCTCCTTCTCTTAAGCATCAACCTTCTGTTTTCTGATTCAGCATCTCCAGATGTCTTCTTTCCTTGTGCCTTTTTTGGTTCCTCAGCTTCTCTTTATTCTTTTCTCCCCAATCTGCTTTCCATCTCCCACTATTCTCTTTAGACTTCCAAGCCCGCCTTTTCCATTTTTTAATCCTTCCAACCCTTTCTCTCTCGTTCTTCTGCCATCGTTTATTATACCTAGATAGTCCAGCTTTCGTTCCTGTCAATTTTTTTAAAATCTCTTTCCAACTCTTCCAGCTGCTCGTTCCTCCTTCTCTTGTACAGTCCCCAATTTTCCATCCTCGAAATCTGCACAACTCTCCTTTTGTAAATCACCTAGTGTCTCTTTCACCATAGGTTGTTCCTCTTCCTCTGCCTAACTTCTCTCTGTAGGTTGTCCAGTTTTCCCCCTATTTTTTGGCATGCCTGTTTACACTCTTTTTGAACAACCTCCCTCAAGAGGTTTAGAAACTGCCCCACAGTCAATTCACCTACTTCCGCGTCTTCATCATAGTCCTGATCAATTTCAGTCCCGTCCGCCATTTTCATCCTCTCTCCTAATCCATTTTCCTCCTCAATACTCAGTTTTCACTATAATCCACAAATTTTGCCTTATGACTTTTTGCCGATATAGCCAATAGCACCACTCCAACGTTCGCAAAAGCACCAACACATTTTTCTTCCCCGCTTCCGCTAATATTGCAAACTTATGTCCCCGATTTCTCCAGCCAATGTCACTCATACGTTTGGACTTTCCACTTGGGGAATCTTCTTTAGGACTCCAATAGTTATCACTCAAACCTCCTTCTTCCGTGTTGCTGTAATCCTAGTCTATTCTTCTTTTAATTAATTAAAAAAGGTCCGGAAGGCTGCGGCTTCTCCGAACATGGCAGCCATGTTCGTCCCCTTCACATGGTCCTGCATTGGGGCTGTTCCTGGTCACCCCCGCTTTGCTTAGTATGGGAGGGGCCAAGAAAGACGCCCCTTACTCCAACCTGCACTCCATGCGGCTGGCCAAGTTCTCCCGACAGTCGGGAGACCTGGAAAGGTCCGTGGGAAGGACGGGCGGTACGGAGCAAACCGCACTTCGCCCGTTGCCGTGCCGGCGCAGTCTCCACAGCTGTCATTCTTGTCAGAAAAAGAGATATTTCCAGTCCCAC